ACTACTGTCTGCATACAAATACTTGATTAAAATAACATAAAGATTACTATGAGACACTGCAGACAGAATTGCATCTGAGAAAACAAAACAGCCAAACGTGGGGATATTGTTAAATGCAAATGCACTATGACTAACCAAATCAATGTTCATGGGATACAGGCTAAAGGCACATGCTTCAATATCTTTATACATAAGTTTATAATTATCCCCAATAGTGTGGATCAACTGTGGGCAAGCTATGACCTGTGGCCCACAACTGGCCTAATGAGCAATTCTTACATGCACCTGAGGCTGCTGTAAAATAACTATATAATCTGCCCCCCAACTTTCCCTCCATAAGATGATTTCTGCTTCAACAGACACATTTAGGAATATATAGAAGCGCTTCAGTGGGTGAGAGTGTCTGACTATGCGTAGAAAGGGATTATAATTTTAAATTATCCCACAAATATCATATTATGAGTGAGGAAATGTGGGTATTATGTTTACAATGGAGTTTATTTTTCCATTTGGCCTGTGAGCAGGCTAGTAATTCTACATTCTTACATGGTACTAAAACTTGTCCATTGTCTTTCCATTCTATCCTCTCACATTATACTATTTCCATTGTCTGTTCATTCTATCATCCTTACATTGTACTGAAACATTTCCATTGTCTGTCCATTCTATAACCTTCATACTGTATTGGAAACTTTCCACTGTCAGGTCTTTACTACATATTTTATCAGTAAACATTCCACATACAGATTTGTCTGCAAATTCTGCCCCCTTCACATTTTATTGACTAATATTTTCTGGACTATGACACTATTCTGCCAACAGATTCCTCTTCTGTATATCTACCTATGTCTATTCAATCAGGATAATCTCTTCTTTTGCAAAAGACTTACTTCCTACAAGCCCCTCCAAACCATCCTGCCGTCCCGTTGCAAGTATTTCTGACATTTTAACTAATTTGAGCACCAGGAATGAACTATGAGTTGATTTATGACTAATTTAACTCTCCTCTGGTACTGAAAGAGTTCAAGGGGCTGCGGACAATTTTAATTGGATGTATAATGTGAGAACAAGAACTGTGAGAACAAGGATGTGTTCTTAAATAATGTCCAGCATGAATGAATCACAAAAAATTAAATAGTTTTACAAGGTGGGTCATTTCCAGAGCCCTGTAGGGCAGTAAGTAATCTCTGACAACACTTACAAATATAGACATCTGACATGCAGTCTGATTAACAGAGAAGATCAAAATACCTGGTTTGTAAAAAAAAAAGAAAAACACAAAAACATGCACAATATCATTCCGAAACACACCTCTAAATCATCATATGTTACCATACAAAGACGTTTTATGGAATGTACATTCAAAAGACAGAACTATCACTGTTAGAGATAAAATAAGTAGGACTGAGAAGATGGTCAAGATGCATTTGAAATTACAAAAAATAAATGCATTATATCATGTTTTTCTTTTAAACTTTGAAAGCCATAAATACAGGTGGTGAAAATGCATACTCATGCATATTCAACAGATTTAAAACATTTTTTTTTATTGCAACACAAATTTTATTAAATGCTCAGAAAAACATCATTATAATTTTTATTCTGCTACAGCATTTGTCCATAGCAGCTTCTTACTGTACTGTAGCATTTGTCCTTAGTAGCTTCATACTGTACTGTAGCATATGTCCTTAGTAGCTTCATACTGTACTGTAGCATATGTCCTTAGCAGCCTCATACTGTATTATAGGATTTGTCCATAGCAGCTTCTTACTGTACTGTAGCATTTGTCCTTAGCAGCTTCTTACTGTAGTGTAGCATTTGTCCTTAGCAGCCTCATACTGTATTATAGGATTTGTCCATAGCAGCTTCTTACTGTCCTGTCACATTTGTCCATTGCAGTTTCCTACTGTACCACAGTTTTTTTTTCCGAGCAGCTTCTTACGGTATTGTAGCATTTGTCCGTAGCAGTTTCCTACTGTACTGTTGCATTTGCCCACAGATCAGGATGTGGCACATCATCCATCACCAACTTTTTAAGGTCTGCATGAACACTTTATGGCATCTGCACTTACTGGGAATACTTTCATTGTACAGCAGATGAAAACATCTGACATCTTATCTGTGTTTATACTTTCCCATCATACACAAATAAAACAAACTTTCTTCAGCTTCCAGAGCATACAGTCTAGCAAAAGGAGAGATGCTGAGCACCAACCTCATTAAAAAGCAACATATTTCTTACATTTAACAAAGAATGCACACTAAACTGAGAATATATGACAAATGTCATTTACCACATATATGATAGGTGTCATTTGTGACGTGTATCATGGGATGTCATTTACAACATGTATCAACATGTGCCATTTACAATATGTTATCAACAGATGTCATTTATGGCATGTGTCAACAGATGTCTTTTAGGACATGCATCTTGGGTTTCATTTATGACATTTAGCACAGATATCCTGTAGGATATATAGCACAAATGTCTTTAAAGACATGCAGCATTAAACAGTCTGTCACTGAGGTAGGCATCCATTTGATTTATATCTCACTCTAACCGTTTATGTGGTAAACATGGAAATTAAACATACTGTTGAAATATCTTCGAGAACACACAAATCACACCAGAGCTATACAACTAAGTTTACTCAGGGGCCAACATGTTGAAAATGGGGATCATCAGGGGTCAGAGCCCCAGCACAGAAATATCACTAATACAATACAGTTGGAACTGCTGACAGAGGCGTCTAGCGATCTCTCTGGCAAACCTCTACACCCCAAGGTAGATAAGGAGCGACTTAGTGAGCAATACAGTTGGTAATGACCTGCGGGCCACTTGCTATGCCTCTGCAGGCCAGATTCAGCCTGCGGGCCGCCACTGGAATAGCCCTGCCTTACAGTTGTTTCTTAAACCTTTTGCCCCAAGAGACCAAAAAACTGACCCTTCCAGTTAGGCCCAATTACCCCTAAATGTCACTTTTCTGACTTGCCTTTACTGACCTGTCCAAGAGATGCATAGTTAATGCTACTACTGGCTGAGTTCATGCCTGCACAAATGTCTAGGAGGTCAGGATATGACTATTTAAATTAACAAAAGAATTGGCAGAGTGGGGGGAGGGGTAAGGGTTGTTCCTTTGAGTTAAAAGGCTTTTTAAAAGCCAAGTTGATGTCATTTTTCTCATAATCCTCAGTGACAGAGGTCAAGGTGTTACGGCATGAGTCATCTGGAACATGTTTATTCTTGGCCCTGGGGGACTATTCCATTTAATGCTTCATCCTGCTTGTGTTTACTGACTACTGCTTTCATATATATTTATACATTTTCTTAAAATTATTGTTAAAATATAATTATTTGTAACAAATGTATTAGTGATCTGTGTCAAATGTGTATTTAAAAAAAAAAAAAAAATTTAGTCTGGAATTCTAATGGAGTCATGGTCTTTTTGTTTTTCTTTTAAAGTTTTCCTGGGGCTAAAGCATTCATAAATAATTCAGAAAACAAGAACAATGTATTACTTTTGAAAGCATACTGGTAATTATTTTGTAAAAAAAAATACTGCAGCCTTGCTGTAAACCATGAGGCAATGTGCAAACTGCTCTTTGGAAGGGTTGTGGATAAGGGGTGGGGGGTGGGTGTGGTGGGCTTGAGAAGAAGTAAATGTGAAACCTATGTATGTGGTAACAGGTAATAAAGAAGGGCTGCTGTGAGTCTGGCTAGCTCATCCATTAAAAAACTTTAAATGCTAAATGCAACCAAACTATAACAGAATCCTGCAAGCAGCTTGGCTTGAGTAGGTTGAGAGCCTATGCTCCTTTGGGAGATGACAGGCAGCAGTAGCAACAGCACAAGATGTGCAAGTTACCACAATTATATGATAAATAGAGTTCACTGCATCACAGTCCCACAACACTGCATGCCATTGGGTCACCAGCTGCTACTGACTGTCTGATCAATTTGCTTCACCTCTGTGCAGTTTTTAGACCTATTCATTCAGCCAAATTCGGTATCCAGGTTTTACTCTGCTGTGTCTCCTCTTCCTCTCTACAGAGCCCTGTAGTATCATTTTCAAAAGGCCAGCAGATCTTGCTACAGATCTGTACCAGTGATACCTCTACCTATTATATAACTGACAAATGATTTATGGGTTAGTTCGACATCAGTTTTCCCAGACCCCACCCATATACACACTAGCTCACTTCTGATTGGTAGTTCCTGAGCTCCGTCACCTTAGCACATGGTTACGGGGTATTCCGCAATGCCGCCAGCGCTTTTAACACTCCAAAAACATAGAGAAACTGGGTCTATCACAACATCCCTAGAGAGTGCTGCAATGTATGTCACAGGCATTCTCTTTCTCAGAATAAAAACATAAATGCAAGACATCGCAGAAACCAAACAACAGAGCAGTACACACCTGCAACCTTCAGAAATGTCAACCAGTCCAACAAACTTGTGAAGGAAAAATTACCTACTCTTTTTGGGGAGATTAACGTCGAACTAACCGATTTATGAGATTTACAAGTCATTCACTCAATAGCCGTTCGTTACTTTAAGATATTGCAATATGACTATTAACATATTTAAACAAAAAAACATCTGTGTACAATTTCGGAATAACACACATAAGAATTAATTTAACAAATCTGAAGAAGTAGCTATGTATGGCAACTGACATCACATATTAAAAAAACACATAAACAAGCAACAAGAACTAAATATTGCAAGAAGACTGCAAAACATAATTTAAACAATAGTAAAAGCCATAAACAACAAGTTATCACGATGGTAGGAATAGTAACTAAAAAATTCAGGAATAGACAGAATATAAGAGACACAAATATTTCAGTGTGAAACTGATTTCTTTATAAAAATTTACACATGCACAACAACAAAAAACAAAAACATGCTTGCGTTGGATTCAAAAACATCTATTGTGACTTGAAGCATCAGTGGTAGATGTTTACAGCCCAGCCACAAGCGACGACAGTTCTCCTCAGTGTTTGTGGGTGTCTGGGTGTTTGCATATCAGCACTGGGACATGGGAATGGTGCATAACGTAGTCGCTGACACTGCCCAGGAGAGTGCGCCGAATAGTGCCCATACCACGTGACCCCAGCACCGTCAAATGAACCTGTTCATCCTTTGCCACCTTGCAGATGACTTCTCCAGGGGTGCCACCAACACTTTTGACTTTGCCGCCAATCTGTTTGAAGAATGACAGTCAAATTCAACAACTTAGACTTAAATCTGATTAAAAATGTAAAATAATTAAGTTCTGGTTTAAAGTCAGCTATGGTAGTAAAGGGGTTACTCTACTTGCTGTCCACAAATGTGATCTAGATTAAATTCCTACAAATGGCAGCGTTAATTCAGAGCTAGTACAAAAATTCATCTGGGTAAAGATTCGACATCACAGCACTGAGGACAGGCCCATATTAGCTCCGTCTCCCTCCTCAAAAGACAATGAAGAGTTTCCATACCAATGGTATCTGTTGTCATCAGGTTAACTACTTGTCCTGCCTTCTCTCCGAGTCTCGAGTGGCGCCCAGAGCCCACATACATTCCTTGCTGTTTCATTCTCTCCAGGCACAGCTTTTCACTATCTCATTTCACTTGCTACCCTGTAGCAAAGATCACCTCTGCTTTGTGCAGTTGCAGTACACCCCCAAATGGGGCTTTTTCAGCAAGACTATCTGCCTGCTCATTCCTAAACACACCTGAATGGGCTGGGCAAAATATCAATGAGACTCTCATCACCTGTGAACTCTGGATTTCTTTTTACATTTGCTTTCCAAGTATGTGGTTTGGGTGCAAACTGCCAAAAATATTTCAGAACCAGTGAGAATCATAAGATGATCCACTGGAAGAAACTGGAAGCAAAGGTGATCATGAGGGAATTGAGAACTAATTTATTATGCCATGACTTAGTGTGTATGAATGCCTAACACTTCACACTTCTATGAGAGCTAGTGTAGACCGGTTACCTTTGTTTCTGGGATGAGTGGTAGATGTTACATCACTGTTAGTAATGTTGTAGTAAAGAAATCATTATTTGCTAAATTTTTTTTTACTGTTACAGCAGTGTGAACCTGAAGAGATATAACAAAATATGCCATGCAATAAATTTTGCAATCTATTGTTTGTGTCTTCTCTGTTTAAACACAACTCAACTGTTGTTGGCACCAGTTGACTTTCCAACCAATATCTTATAATGGTGCATAGGGAAGCACAGGGTCACATTAAAAGGTGACAGCAACTGTGTCTATGAAGCATGTTAATCACAACCTATTGCGATGGCAAGTGTGACAAGCACCACTTATAACACAAAGTCTGGGCAGTATCGTAAAGACCATGTGTTACCCATGTAACCTGATCACTCTCTCATAAAATGAGATAGTAAATGTGAATTATTCCTATGCTATACCATATGTCACCACGGTTCATATGGGAAGCATAATACAGCAATAACATAACCTACCATGCATGGGACAGGCAACTAGTGACAGCTGCTTTGGCTAAACCCATAAAGAGACAACTTTAGCAGGTCTATAAAACAGGAAAGTCAAATAACTCAGTCAAACATGGACAAAGCAACAATCCACAGGGTTCCAGAAATCAAGGCACACCAAAAACAAAACACCAAAAACCCACACCCAGAATGGAGCTGGAGAGTGAAGGACATGGGGTGAGCTGCTTATAACTGCAAATCACAGAACATCCTGGTGTGAGGTGTGTTGTAATCTGATCTGGGCCAAGAGTTGCATTTTTTATCTAGCGGGAACAACATCAGGTGTTTGGGGTCCTGTTTGACAGGCACACTGCGGAGACTGTACAATCTTTATTGTATGCATGTGGTAGTTGAGCCTGCAGTGTCCTGTTCGTAGACGGAAAATTGTTGTATGTTGCTTTCTGTTGAGGTACAAATCCCGGAAACCTCCACTAAACCGCACAAAACATTGTAACGGGGCAATCGACGGTTACGTAGCCCGACGATTACAACGGTTACGTTTCTGATCTCTGGTTAGCTGTCCGGTGGTCAGCAAAACAATGCCCCCTGTTTTGGTGGGTCGCAGTTTACCCTACCGGACTCTCACTCAGAGTAAAGGTTATGTGGCAGCCACCTAGGCGAAGGTAATTATACCAGTTAATTGAATTCTGGAGTTAGAAGACAAAGGCTCCAGCAGTTGAGATATCTCCATTGTCCAAGTGGGACGTGGTGTGGTTTCCTTGGGGTTAGCCGAAGTGTTGGCTCTCTGTATGAGGATTTTATAGAAACGTTTTCTCCATGTGAGGTTTTGATTGCCGTTGTTTGTGGGAGACAGTTTAACGTCTGTTTAGTTTATAATGGCAGGAGTCCATTGAGAAAAGATTGTAATCTTTTATATCATCCGTGTAGATAATAGAGATTTATTATCGTACATATGTTAATGAATAATCATAATCATCTTGTGCCATATACTGTGAATTACATTAAAGTTTATGTGGCCTGTCACAAGCGTTATTGTTGACTCGTTAAGATAGTAACAACTGTATTTGCTGGTGCTGTGCCAAGTGTGCCAGTTATTATAGTATGCAGGACTGTAGCCCATCCATCAAGGAGAGATCCAGCAGAATATTATAGTAGGCACCCTAGGCCTAAATACTTGGTTGTTTACAGATACAAAGGAGTATCAGTGCGTAAACATACATGTTAGATGGACTAACATAAATAAGTGCTCTGCACACCCATAGTCTACATAGGGGGTGAATACACAGTGCACAACAGGTGATTGAGGTCCTCTTCTTCACAGGGGGGAAAGAATGCAGAAAAAGAATGTTACTGCAGTTGTCACAGACTGTGCAGGTTAGAACTGTATTTTAGACTCTCACAAATTACTGCTGACACAGGTTCACTGGGAGAGACAAATGGGAGGCCAACATAAATAATGTCACTCACGACCTAACTATATACACATATCAACTCACGCCAGCACTCTTGAGTGTCTGTCCCAGCTGCTCAAGGAAGCATTTGATCCTTTTCTCCTCCTCCTGCAGGAGGTCAGTAACCACACTGACATCAGTCATGACCATGGCTGCAAAGACAAGTCAACAGTCATTACCATGGCTGCAAACACAAGTCAACATCAGTCATTACCATGGCTGCAAAGACAAGTCAAAATCAGTTATGACCATAGCAGCAAAGACAAGTCAACATCAGTCATGACCATGGCTGCAAATACAAGTCAACATCAGTCATGACCATAGCTGCAAAGACAGGTCAACATCAGTCATGACCGTGGCTGCAAAGACAAGTCAACATCAGTCATGACCATGGCTGCAAAGACAAGTCAACATCATTCATGACGATGGCTGTAAATACAAGTCAACATCAGTCATGACCATGGCTGCAAAGACAGGTCAACATCAGTCATGACCATGGCTGCAAAGACAAGTCAACATCAGTCATGACCATGGCTGCAAAGACAAGTCAACATCAGTCATGACCATGGCTGCAAAGACAAGTCAACATCAGTCATGACCGTGGCTGCAAAGACAAGTCAACATCAGTCATAACCAAGGTTGCACACACAAGAAAACATCAGTCAAAACCATCACTAAAAACATATAAAACTCAGTCATCTTCTTTCTTTCTTCTGCCTTTCTAACCCCAATGGAGCATAGGCCCTCAAACAACTCACAGCAAGTTGTTCTATCTTTTGCTGTCACATGCAGCTCACCACATGTCCTCCACATTTTTATTTTTAACTTCTCTTTTTAGCTCCCTTCTCCATGTTTTTTTTTTTAGGTCTTCCTTTATTTCTGTGGATTCCGTCACAAAGATATTTTAGTCATATTGTTCTCAGGTTTTCTCAGCATATGTCCTATCCAATGCCAACATCTTTTCTTCACCTCTTGGTCCACTGAAACTTGTTTAGTTCTCTCCCAAAGCTCTACATTAGTGATTCTATCATGCCATTTAATTCCCTCTATTCTGTGCAGGCACCAATTAACAAATGTTTATAGTTTATTAGTAACTGCATTAGTTTTTCTCCATGTTTTCGCTGCACATGACAGTTGGAATTTAAATATTTGAAGTTTAGTATTAGTTTTAATTTCTTTTGACCTCCGCAAATTCTCTAGTGCTATGAAAACTCCTCTTGCTCTTTGTATTTGAAATGTTCTGCACTAGGCAATACATAACCTTCTGCGCCAACTGAAGGTATGGAGAAAGAGAGGGAAAGAGAGTGGGGGGGGGGGGGGGGGGGGGGTGTGAGAGAGCGGCAAATACAAAGAGAAAGAGAGAGGAAAGCAGTGACAGACAGGCAGAGAGTGAGGAACAGGTAGGACAAAATGTGAGGGGGCAGGAAGGGAGATGGACAGAGATTAAGGCCCGCTAAGAAAACAAACACATCAAAAGAAAATATCCACCATGTTCACGCAGAGCGACCCCCCCCCCCCCCCATAACACCCCCCCCCATAACACAACTTCCTGTGTACTTGAGTTGCTAGGAAAAGAGTTATGGAAAGGCACATTTACTAAACATTTAAACAAGAAATAAAATAAGAAAAAAAAAAGGGGGGGGGGGGGGACAGGAAATGAGAGAGTAAAAGGAAAGATAGAGAGAAAGAGAAGAAGATAAAGATCAGAGGGGAGGGCTAGAGACAATGCAGGAGACGGGAAGGAAGGAGCAATAGGTAGAAGAGTGGAAGAGGGAGGGAAGAGAGAGAGAGAAAGAGAGAGAGAGGAGTGTGACAACAGAAAAGGGAATCTCGGGGAATTACAATACTGATCGCCGCCGAACACACAGTAAAGATAAAACCAGGCAAAAAGAACTGGGAAATCCAGCTGACAGTCACTTTGCTTAGCTCCCACCACGGCCGACTCTTATTTATAAATACAACCTAACCGAGCCCCACCATCTCCCAATGTAATCCTTTCTAGAATACTTGATTAATTTCTAGAAACCACGGCCATAAAACTATTTATACTATTAATTCTGCCGGAGTCACTAGAAACAAAGGCACACGCACATGCGAGACGGCAGCTGCTCCTTCCCGCCCCATGCCATGCCGCTGCTGTCTGCATGTATTTATGAGCTGCAACACAGACGCCTTTCCCTGGCCTTTATAAAGCCATTTCGGCTGAAAATAGCCGATAATCAGCTGCCCTCGCACGACCGTAAACGAAAGTAGCCAAATGACCCCAAAAAAAAAAAAGCCAAATGGCCCCCCAAAATCCAACTGCTAAAAATTGCAGGATTTCAGACGATTTCTTTGCGGTGGTCAAAATTCACGGCTTCTCAAGGTCAGAATGTCTTATTTAGGCTAAAAATCATGGTTCCTGGTACAAGAAAAAAAAATCAGGGTCAATTCAAGATTTCCCGGTCCACTACGAACCCTGATTCTTATTTTAATATCTCTGTCAATTTTCTCTATCTTTATCTACATTACTGCCCAAATAGGTGTAAAAATCCATTTCTTGGAGGTGGGTGCTATTAAAAGAAACAACATTACTATTTGCCTGATTTATTCTCATTATCTTTGTCTTTCCCTGATAGTTTTTTTATACATAGCTGTTGTGATCTCGCTTCAAGTATATAAAAATTTTCTTGCATCTGATTCCGTGAATGGGACAGAAGAGAAATATCATCAGTGAAGTCCAGATTATCAAGCTGTTTTGTAAGGTCCATTCTTGGTGTCAGCAACTCAATCATGACTATGGCTAAAAACATAAACTCAATCATGACCATGGCTAAAAACATATACAACTTAGTCATGACTATGGCTAAAAACATAAACTCAATCATGACCATGACTAAAAACATATACAACTTAGTCATGACTATGGCTAAAAACATAAACTCAATCATGACCATGACTAAAAACACATACAACTTAGTCATGACTATGGCTAAAAACATAAACTCAATCATGACCATGACTAAAAACATATACAACTTAGTCATGACTATGGCTAAAAACATAAACTCAATCATGACCATGACTAAAAACATATACAAACTCAATCATGACCACAGCTAAAAAAAATTAACAAACTTAGTCACAACAATAGCCAAAAACATATACAACTCAATCATGACCACAGCTAAAAAAAATTAACAAACTCAGTCACGACAATAGCCAAAAACATATGCAACTCAATCATGACCAGGGCTGGTAATGGCTAAAAAAAAATAAGCATGACCGTGGCTATCAACACAAGTCAACAACAAAGGAAAAACATTTTACAGAACACTCTCAGAGACTTCATGTTTAAATGTCAGTCAAGTCTGCTGTTAAAAAAAAGGATTTTTACTGTTATTTTCAATGATCATAAGTAAAAGTAAAGTATAACATCCTTGTCCACACCTTCAGGCATATCTGGCAGAGATAGCCAGACCTATATTGTGTCGACTAATTGACATTCTCTGCGTGATGTGGTCAACATCCTGGCTGCTGCTTCACTTCCCAGGACTTTTCATGGAACTAATCTAAAGCTGGGTCAACCTGGAAGCCAAGGTCATGCTTGAAAAAAGTCTGGCTCTGTTTGGAATCGAACCCATAATCTTAAGATCCGCAGGTGGGTGTTTAGCCATTACACCATGGTGCCCCCCCCCCCCATCATATGATAATTTTTTTAAACCAAAAACTCAACCTATGCTGCTTGACCCTGCAAAGATACCTTGCTGTCATCAATTACACAGTAACTATATTAACCGCTAATATCTGAATTACACAGTAACTATATTGACCGCTAATATATGAATTATGAATTGAATATTTCTGTCCTATCATGTCCTGTTGAACTACAGACCTCAACAGGGTTTATTTTCCTTTATTTTGTTAAAAGTCTGACACAGACAGAATTAAGGCAATAAATGCTTGCATGGTTGAATTTCAGTTAACCCTTTCCTGCAGTAAGAATCTTAAAAACAACTTTTCTCTTCAAATTTAATTTTGTTAAATGCATCCTTATCATTCTCTGAAAACTCTTCCCTAAGAAACTAGAGGAAGAGAAGAAGCTGAAGAAATTTGGAGTCTTGGCCAGTTTTGATAAGCATCCAGGGAATCAAAGTCCTAGACCACCGAGCAGATGTGCAGGTGTAAAGATTCCTACTTCTCTGATGATGTCACAGCACATCACTAAAATAAATTTACAAAATTTCTCTTTAGGCATTAAATGTCTAAATCAGAAACAGGTGTATTTCTATGTGAAGGGAAATGATCAATAAATGCAAATGGAGCACAGAATTAACTAATTTAATTCCCTTCAACAATCTTAAAATGGATTTGTTTAATTTTCTAGGAACAGCAATGATTATGAAATTATGTGATGTCAGAGTGACATCCAAATTTTAAAAATTCTTTGTGACTTGTGCACTCGTGTGCAGGGGAAAAGGGGTGGGGGTTGATACTGACAACTATAAGGAAAGGTTTAAAACCAAACAAAACACAGACAATTACAAGGACACAGGACTAGGAAACAAAGCAAAGCACTTGGGGCATTCCATTAAGCAAATTGCACAGCAGCAAGAGCAGAGTTCCAAAATTAACAGTGTGGGTTAGTCTGACCATTAGTAAATCTTGTCTTTCCTCTCATTTACAGTTTCAGTCAGATTACTTGGTCACCCACTGTGGCCTCATTCTTTCCAGAACATTGCGATCTATTACAATTTATTCAGGTGCTCTCAGAACTATATTTTGTTTGTATAATTTGTATCTATATGGTCTGATGATCTACCTACATGGTCGGTGTCTGTGGCTTGGGCGTTGCAAACGTGCTTCGTAATGCTGGGGTGCCAGGTTCGATTCCAGCTGCGGACGATTTGTCTTGTGTTGGTTTTGACAGTGACAGCTAGACAACAGCTATGAATTATAGCTGACAGGACCTGGACAACAACTACGAATTATAGCTGACAGGACCTGGACAACAACTACCAATTATAGTTGACAGGACCTGGACAACAACTACCCAACTACCAATTATAGTTGACAGGAGCTGGACAACAACTACTAATTATAGCTGAAAGGAGCTGGACGACAACTACCAATTATAGTTGACAGGAGCTGTACAACAACCACCAATTTTTGTTGACAGGAGCTGTACAACAACCACCAATTTTTGTTGACAGGAGCTGTACAACAACCACCAATTTTTGTTGACAGGAGCTTTTCAACAACCACCAATTTTTGTTGACAGGAGCTGGACATCATCATCATGTAGCAGGTCCTTTGCAGAACGTCGCTCTCAGCACAGTCTGCCTGAAAGAAATTTGGTCTCTCACCAGTTTTCCCGCCTCATGTACTTTCATTTTCATACTCAAGGAGTCACTTATATCCTGTGCCCATCTTCGTGTTGGTCGGGCCCTGACCCTCCTTCTTGGTAACCATGCTTTCTGCTTTAAATTTTTCCAATCCGTTGTGGCGCTTGATATGACCAAAATATTTCAGCTTCCAAGACAGGATATGGTTTATTAGCCAATCTTCCTTGATGTTGAGTTCTTTTAAGATGTCGGTATTTCTTCTCTTCTTTGTCCAAGATATTCTGAGAAGCTTTCTATAGCATTTCAGCTCAAAAGCCCCTATTCTCTTTCTTAAGGACTGAGAGATAGTCCACGACTCACATCCGTATGTAGCCACAGGTAGATGTATGCTCTAAAAATTCTAATTTTGATCTCCTTGCTAGTGCTTAACCACATAGGCTGTTCAATCTTTGCATTGCTATGGCCATCTTCCTTTTAATTTCTGTCAAACAGTTTCCACTGTTGTTTATTATAGAGCCTAGATATTCAAAGTTTGTGACATTTTCAATTTTTTAATCATTTATTGTTATTTTTGGGTGACAGCCAGTTTTATCTGTGGACATTATTTTCGTTTTCTTTAAATTCAAAAACAGATTTTGATTTTCACTGTGCTTGTGGATAGACAAATTTTAAATTTCCTTTACGCTGTTTGAAAGGAGGACTGTGTCATCTGCGTAGCGAAGTTCCGGAATAGGGGTGCCACCAATTTTGAGCGGATCATAACTGTCACAAGTCTGGTCATGGAGCTGGACAACACCTTCAAATTATAGCTGACAGGAGCTGGACAACAACTTCAAATTATAGCTGATAGGAGCTGGACAACAACTTCAAATTATAGCTGATAGGAGCTGGACAACAACTTCAAATTATAGCTAATAGGAGCTGGACAACAACTTCAAATTATAGTTAATAGGAGCTGGACAACAACTTCAAATTATACCTAATAGGAGCCGGACAACAACTTCAAATTATAGCTAATAGGAGCTGGACAACAACTATAAATTATAGCTGATAGGAGCTGGACAACAACTATAAATTATAGCTGATAGGAGCTGGACAACAACTTCAAATTATAGCTAATAGGAGCTGGACAACAACTATAAATTATAGCTGATAGGAGCTGGACAACAACTTCAAATTATAGCTAATAGGAGCTGGACAACAACTATAAATTATAGCTGATAGGAGCTGGACAACAACTATAAATTATAGCTAATAGGAGCTGGACAACAACTATAAATTATAGCTGATAGGAGCTGGACAACAAGTATAAATTACAGCTGATAGGAGCTGGACAACAACTTCAAATTATAGCTAATAGGAGCTGGACAACAACTATAAATTATAGCTGATAGGAGCTGGACAACAACTTCAAATTATACCTAATAGGAGCTGGACAACAACTTCAAATTATAGCTAATAGGAGCTGGACAACAACTTCAAATTATACCTAATAGGAGCCGGACAACAACTTCAAATTATAGCTAATAGGAGCTGGACAACAACTATAAATTATAGCTGATAGGAGCTGGACAACAACTATAAATTATAGCTGACAGAGCAACTACAATGTATAGCTGATGAGAGCTGGATATACAAACTGCTGTTTTGTAAATGTACTCACGTGACTGAATGATTGTGTGGTACTCAGGGACGTACAAGAGAATTACATGGTCGGTTTTCCTGTGCACATTCTTCATGAAGTCTGTGGAAGTAAAAGAGGCAACATCACAGATAATTTGTACAGGAATCATGGGATAACAGCTGATCTGGGCTGACAATAGCGACAACTAATATGCTAATTCTTTCAATTGTTTAAAGTTGTGGAAGGCTGTGATGAAGGTTCTGCTTCTTCCCTTTCTTACCCTCCTCCTCAGTTTTTTTCTTCACCTCTTGGTTGGATGCAAACAGTGGCAAAACTAACTCCCTAACATTTGATGTCACATATTTCAATTAATTTTATTTGCTGACCAGCTGTTTTGCTTCTGCATGGACAAATTTTAAAAAATGTCTATCTTGCCATATCTTTATTATGTGTGCCTGTGTGTGTGTATATGTGCGCGCGCGCACGCCTGTTAATGTGTGTGTTAGAGAGAGAGAGAGAGAGAGAGAGAGAGAGAGAGAGAGAGAGAGAGAGAGAGAGAGAGAGAGAGAGAGAGTATAATCTTATACCTGAAGGTTCCAGTGCAAGAACAGTGTAGTTTTACTATTAGACTTTTTGGATGTGACCCATCACCTTTTGATTCACAGCAGTTTGTTTGCTTCTTTCGCAAAGCTCTATACTGGTGCTTGTCAGACTATTTAATTTCACTATCTTGTGCTCAGGCACCAGTTCTTCACGTTAATGTCCCATACCGTCAGGGCAGACAGACGTTAGAACTCCATAAATTCTAAGACTATTTAAATTACTTCCAGATATTTTGCGTGACGTTCTATAAGTGAATAAATTAATCAGCTTGATATGTCAATTTTCACCTTTTATTAACATATATTGTAAAGTTTTCTGTGTCCTGTTCACGTTTCCCGGCCCATTTACATACTGACATTTCACTGGTACTTTCTTAGACTCTTCTACGTCGGAGAGGTGTCACGTTGTCTTGCCTCCAAAAACACAAGCACCGATGTCGCGTGTTCTATACTACACGACGACGCAGCTTTTAACGACCCTAGAACATCTAGAACTGGTCCTAACCCACCAACCCCCCCCCCCCCACCCCTTTCTAACCACAGCCCGAATCTAGGTCACACGCGAGAATCTTTTCAAAGAAAACAGCACAACGTGACACACCTCTAACCCAGATCAGACTGAGAAAGGGTGTAGATGGGCCGGGAAACGTGAACAGGTGTCCGTTTTCTGAGATCAACTGGTGTAATTTAAAACAGTAGGAGCCTCGGTCCACAACACAACTTAGGGCCTCGACAGGTCTAAATCCGGCCCTGCACAGCCTACAGACAAGCGCACGTTATTCGCTGTGCCACCAGTCCATCGTAAAATAACTGTATGCTCACTGGTATATTATGAGTAGACAAGATTCACCTAGGCGTTGCGAGCCCGACTCGTAATTCCAACGTACCGCGATCGAAACCCATTGCTGGCTGCGTGAATTAGTATCATGGTATGGGGCGTCGCAGGTCGACCCAGCCTAAAATGGGTACCAGGATGTATGTCCTAGGGAAGTAAAGACGGCCGGCGTAATGCTGACATTACCCATCTAGTGCCGATTGGTCTGTAAAAATATGGGTGCTATTCCCATTTGCGCATCGCCTAAAGACGTGAATAAAAGGTTTTTTTTTTTACTTTTTACAAGATTCACCAAACAGGAGTAAATCAGGTGAAGGTCATCAACCCGTCAGGCTAAAACTATGCACGCGTGTGATAATGGCCTTGACACACAAACTTGTTTACTGTCAGCCGATAACGGTGAAGTCAAAAACAGAACCTCTTCCCCTCGTTGTTTTCGAAAACTAACCCAGAATTTTATTTATGGTAACAGTAAGGGCAGCCAGCTGAAAGTCAGTCAGTGTGTTCAATGTTTCGGTACCTAGATAATAAATAGCAAATGGGCTATGTGTTCAAAGAGAATAAGTGCAATTGTGTTCTTTTAGAGATTCCCTTACTTAGCTAGGGAGCAGCGGCCGCCCGAGCGGTTTGGAATGTTGGTCTCTCTCTCTCTCTCTCTCTCTCTGTCATTCGGGAGACCACGACCTCTTTCAGTCTTCCGGAGACGGTCGTGCGGGACACCTAGTTCGAATCCACGTTAGATAACAGACTGTTTCCCCGTCGAGGGCAAAAATAAAATTATAACCGGTGTTTTATTTTTAATTCACCCCAAAGGAAAGTCCGGAGTCTCGGGACAGTCAAATTTTCTAGGGGTGTTATGGGTTAGGATCACTGTCTGCTCTGACTGCCTCAGAGACACCGACTCATCCTAAGTCTAACCCCAACACATAACACCCCTAGAATATTAGGCTTTCCCAGAAACTCTGGGTTTTCCTATGTTAACCGGCTATTATTATGGAAAGCTTACCCATACGTTCTCCAACTACTCACTTTTACATTCTGTCAATCTTACCTTGATTCCATCTGTCATTTTCAAAGTAAATCAAACTGTTCATCTTACTTAGGTAGTAACGTATTACCGGAGTATTAAAGTATAGGTCCCTGTATACGCTAGCGTTGAAGCTCTTGCATTGCCCCCCCCCCCCCATTTTTTCCCCAATGCGGATTTGAACCCACGACCTCCGAATTCGCAGGCGAGCGTCTAGCGGCTACACCGCGGTGGCTCCCACTGCAGAGTATGGCTACAAAAAATAAATCAAGTATCTTTTACTGACATTAATGTGTCACTGATTAGGGTGGTTAAGGAGAAGTGAACTGGTAAAACGGTTAAGAACACCAGGCTCCCATAAGAATGACCCAGGTTAACATCCTCGATAAAAACACTAGATTTTTCTCTCCTGTCGGGGATATAAATAACATTTTTAACATGCACAGGCTTAAAGCTCCCCTCCCCCCCCCCCAATCGTTATAGTGGTAAACACTGGATTGGGGGGGGGGGGTATTACTTGTTTAGTCCGATGATTTAGGGCTGCTGGCTAAATCAGACGTCGGAGACTGTCCATCATTGCGGTCTATGTGTACGACTGCAGCATTCAACCAGATTAAGTTGACGTTCACAACATTTCGGGGCTTAAGCGCCTATCTTCACAATCCGAAACTGTTGTCCACGACCTTTTCGTGCTGACCTGTCATACTGCTATGATGACACACATTTTATACAGTGTTTCATCTTTACCTCGATTCTGCTCGCATCATCATCATCATTTCGTTCGGGTGTGACTGGAAAACTCAGCCGACAAGACAAGAAAGCATGTAACCACGATCGACATGAAACCAAGAAATAAGTAAGGGGGGTTCTTTTATGTTATTTCACCACTCCTCGGGACCCTCAAGATGGGGTAGGGAAATCCACATAACACCCTACAGTACAGGAGAGTTAGGGCTAGTGTTAAATGAATAGCGACTACTATTAAGCCTAATCCTAACCCCCCCCCCCTTCCCACCCCCATACTATGAAACGTTCTACCAAATCTTGAGGGCCCCAAAATGTGATGAAAAAACCAAAAAGAACCACAATGGGCGAAGGTGGAAAAGGGGGAGCAAGCGTGCGCACTGTGTTGTTTGTTTTTAGTACTCCGTTGACAAAGACTTCGGTCGAAACATTCAGTTGTATTTGTTGTACTTGTCTTTTCCATTCGCTCTGCTGATCTTCCTAGTTGTATTCTATGACTATTTAGCACTTCTCGTCATCACCTTGACTGCAGCCACCCCTGTTTACTTCATTAAAGTAACCAGACTGAGTAATTTGTGCACAGCGAATGTCATGAGTAAGGAGAAAACAAACTTTTACAACTTTATAAAACGAGTACTGTGCGTTTGCTTCGGTATACGTTTGTTTTGGTATAAGTTTAACTTGGTATGCGTCCTGTTTAGACACGAAAACGTTTGCTTGGTATAAGACCTTTGGAATACGAACTTGTAAGAGTCGAAATTAATCACCACACTGTGCGCTACCTTTGTTTGCCTATCCCGAGACAAAAGGCATAGATAGATGTCAACTACCTTCCATGGAAGTATCACCACAACACAGCACAAACAAGCCGTAACAGCACTGTCTGAAATGACCAAACAATGTCCCATCCCTGAAATATCCTGAGAACAAAGCAAAAGCAATGTTCTTTGGGCAGATTAGCAAAACTCAAACCTCATAGGCCTCAACCAGGTCCAAGCAGCGAAAATACAGAAACAAATTTCAGAAAGAGAAAAATACTAGAATTTCGCATTCCTGAAATGTTATTTGAAGTGAAATCTTCTCGCAAACAATAACATCTCATCCTTCCTTCTCAGTACCATCCTGGTAGAAACTTGACTCTTTTCAGTAAGATAAAGTAAGGTTAAATTTTAAATTATTTCATCAAAGTATTGTTGTATTCTTGTATTTTGCTTATTAAGCATTAAATAAACAACTGAATACAAACCCATCAATGTATAATATGCCAAAAACGATAATTTTATTCTTTATGGAAACGCATTTATAATTCTCCTTTGACTTCTTATGAGAAAACTGGTTTGGTATGCGTACTGTATGGAACAGACATAAGGATCAGGAACGTACGTATACCGAGGCGCCACCGTACATTACAAATCTTCAAGGGATGATAGATATATGAGGACACTTCATACCAGTATGCAGACTGAATAATCTGACATTACATATAAGCGTCTGGATATTGAAACAAGAAGCCAACGAGCCAGTGCATTTATATACCAACTGACACCGTTATTAACATAAGTATGAGCACCCAGAAACAGATTATAAACCGCATATTCATGCCAACACTGTGCTTCCAGTGCCAGACTTGGACATTATCAAAGGCTAACCTGCGTACAATTGATTGGCACCTTTCGGTCTTTCCAGACGACAGTGTGGGTTACAAACACGTACCTAAAGTTACCACCTGAGAAATGAGATGCCTAAGAAAATTCACCAACTCAACCATCAGAGACAAAGTGGGAAATAATATTATCAGACAGACTGTAGGAACAACACCATGCAGCAAATTCACTGGGAAACAGAAGATCAAATGATTTGGTCATCAAGTAAGAATGCGCTACACATGAAAAGATCTGTAGTGAAATCAAGC